TGAATGCAGCCACGCGATGTGGTCGATTTGCGTCCGTCGCTGATTCGAGGAGGACGAGCGCCAAGTGGCGTACCGGCAGTTTGTACTGACGAGTAATAGGCGGTGGTCGGAACATAGAGCCAACAACCGTTCCCCGTTTTCCGAGCGACAGGGATCTAGTCCGAAAGGACCGCCTAGATGTCTTACTCGAGGTCAAGCGGCCTACTCTAGCATTTATATCTCCTGCTAGAATCACGATAGCAGGCCGGGTCGTTTTACGCAGGTCGTGTAAATTGTGGTAAAATTCATCTTTGACTGCATCTGGGCTGCAGTCTATTTGAGCGTACACCGAGTTCCGTCTATCGGAGCGACGACTGCTTAATGTGCCTGAACCTCTGAGTCTCACTGCGCACAATCTACTGTCGACTGGGATCCAATCCATGGGACAGTTCCAGCTCTCTCACTGAGAGCCATGTCGACGCCAGCAAGACCGTTACAACACACTGACGTAAATTAACTCTACAGGACCAATCTAGTTGACATATGAAAACTAAATAAATCCGGTTTTCAATTGAAAGACAAATTCCAAGCAGACCAATGTGTCATTCCGTATTCGCTTGAATTTAAAAATCATTTGGTACTATTGTTTATAAAAGTATATCTTCGGTTGACAAGAGAACAGAATCCACGCCATCAGCAGTACGATTATAACGGCTGACAAGAAACCGAGAAATCGCTCAGATTTGGTGGGGAGTATTAGGCAATTACAAAATTCCAGTATGGAGAAACTCGTTATACTTATGAAGGAAACAGGACATGCTTTTGTGTAATAGAATGCTGTCTAGCCTAAAAATATCACATGGTTGCATAGAGGATTGCGGAACACAGTGAAAGGCCGTCGATAGGCAGCTGAATAGCAATGTGTGTGCCGAAAAGCCTATCGTAAAAACAATGTATCACAATGAAAGCCTAGCTTTCAGTGTGTTTTCGCTTGCAAGTATCTTCCCTTATGAACGAATTTGGTGCTGATTTTTTTGACTAGACAGATTTTTTTAACGCACTTTGTTCGACGGACTCAGACATGGGTGTATTATCATGTTAGTATTCAGTGGAAAAGGTCAACGTTGCTAAATTAGTTGGTACAAGAATGGTCAATCAGGATAAATAAAGCAATACGTGTGCATGTTATTAATTCATCGATCCATCCCACGTTACGTCATAAGACAGAAATGTATGAAAATCACATGCGAGTGTCTCGATTCCATGAAGGAATGATGGTGCAGAGATGAATCGATGATATGGTCAACCATTAACACTAGCGCTAGAAACAATGGAACCAGCTGCGTATGTCGAATGGAAAATGGAGCCACCGTAGTAAAATGATCAACCTGTGCACAATTCCAAAGTTCACAATTCTATCCCTTCGATTTCTGTCACTGAGACCGACAGACCTGACTAATCCTGTGCTTGTATAATGTGTTTGAAATCTGTGAGAACTCTGACAAATATGCAATCATTTTCTTAAGGAAACAGCGTGAATGCAGTTAACCGCGGACGTCGTTCAAAAATGAAGATGAAGGTTCAGTTTCAGTTTGTACAACCATATGGATGAAGGGGTAAACGAAAGATTGGAAAGTCTAAAGCAGTGTCGAAGAGAAATCGGAGAATTCCGGTGGCCAAGAAATTGAGATTTTCACGAGCGCCACGACAGGCTGTCAC